AATATGGTAGATCTTGATCCACCCTGCATTTCATTCCTTACATCAGAGTGTATGATGTAATTTGAATGTGAATTAAGTTAATTCACACACAAGTGAAGTAGATGACCAGGGGGCGGAGTGCATGACCAAATGCATTCAGTCCTATTGTTAAAGAGGCTTAATTATCAGAAGGAACTATGCAGCCTAGATTTTTAAAGGGGCTTATTACAGCAAATACTTTTTATCAGTTCAGAACTAGTTTCATTTTTAGATGCACTTTAAAAAAATTGCACCAATTACTTTATGAAACATGAACATTGTGTCTGATTTTTCTTTTCCTGCTTGTCTGCATATTGAAGGTAACAGGATTCTGATGGAGCCTGGGGAACCCCTAAGTTCAAAACCACTTTCAGCTATGGAAGCTCACTTATCCCAACCTACCTTGTATGTATTGGGGGAAAAACTGGAACGAGTGCATAGATAGGCCGAGTTCCTGAATGAAAATCAGGATACAGCTCAAAAAAAAAAAAAATGCAACAGCCTCTTCTACATTTCTAAGATAGTTGAGTGCACAAGCAATCTGCCTAATGTTCTCTTTTAACAGTTTTGAAGCTTGCCTTTCCCCCCCCCCTTCTTCTTTTGAATAAGAGCTGTGCCATTGTACAACTGGAAATAATAAATCCCAGACGTACAGGAACACCATTATTTAGAAATATGTGTGCCCATGAAATATGGTTTACAGGAGGAGAGGATTTCCTTAACTATTTAGGATAATTTTTCATCCAGGCTGTGTATGTAGTCATTCAACTTGGCAAAATGGAAAAATAAAAGATGGGGATGACTCCAAGGTTATGGGGGATTTGGTTTGAGAAAAAAGCAAATTAAAACAGTCACATACTATCAACAATTCTTGGAAGCATGAGATAAGGTTTGGATTAGGAAGCAAGCCATTCAATCTTTTCCATTGGAGAGAAACTATCTGGCCCTTAAAGTACCACCTTCTGTATTTTCTCACCTGGTATAATTTGCTTTGAAAGCAGGAATCCCATCTGCTGAATTAAGAATTATTTTAGGTATTAAATAATTTCCTATATTAAAATAGTGTTTGTCTACAAACAGAAGTAAAAACCAATGATAACATTAGCTTGGCTTATTTTCATATAGATGTTTGGGACATCAGCTTTCTTAAAAACTTGTGCAAATCTGATGTTCAGAGGATTTGGCAAAGTAGTATCTCATTCTCAGGAGCTTCCTTTTACCTTTTTTGCAAGTAAAACAAGTTTCGCTGTCAATTCTTGAAAAAACACTTGGGATTTATTGATTTAAACTGCAAACAGTCGTTACAAAAGATTCTCTTAAATAAACTCACACAAAGGAAAAAGGAAAGAAAAAGCAATGTAGTGAACAGTAATGGGAAAAATTACATTCAATGTGTTCTTTGTGCCAGTAATGTTTACCTTTAAAAGAGGAAACACTCCATTCTTGGAATACAGAAATGCAAAGACAAACTACATTTGGAATGTCTTTAGACAGGCACTTGAAACCAAAGGGTAATTTTTTTTTCCTTTAAATACTTACAAAAAAAGGAAGCAAAAATCTTCCTTTTCATCGTCTCACAGCACAGCTTATGCTTATACATTCTAGAGGCCAGCAGTGAAATTCGCATTCTACTGAAGTCACTTGACAAAATTCTCCAATGACATCAGTATGGGCAGAATTTCACTCCACCTGGGAGAGGCCTTGTTGGGCAAAGGAAGTCAAAGAAGCACATGAAACTCAATTTGCAGTCTGACACAAAAAGGGGAACGATCTAAAATAAATAATCCGAACACAGTTGTTGCATTTTTTAAATTAAATTTTCATTTTTTAAAAATAAAATAACCAAAAAAGTGTAAAGTTACAAAAATGTCATTGTAGTATAATATATTAAACTGTGGGGGAGGGGGAAAAGAAAAAGACTTCACAATCTTAAGATTAATATGGAAGATCATAATTTAAACATAAAAGAATATATTCTATGAATTCATCATCCAGATAAATATGAACAAAATTAACAAAAAAAGCATAGGTTTCAGCAATAAATACGTTTTGATAAGTTAAATAAGCTTTATATTGTTGTGCAGTGACAAGCAAAATTTGCTCTCCAATTTCTGAAGTTATACAAAATTAAAAACCCAGGAAAAAAATAAAATAAAAAGCTTGGCGTGAGTGCTCTATGGATAGGTCTATTGTACTCTAGAGCAAAACCATTAAAGCTATGACTACTGGAACTTTGTTTACACTGAACTTGCAAGTGTGGAATGAACACCGTTAGATACCCCTCCCCCTCCCCACTTTTTGTGAAGATGTCACATGTACATGCGGAGAACCTGTAGCACCAAAAGCAAGTCGTTCAATGTCCATCTGGCTTAACTCTCCATTTACCAAGTCCCACGCATGTTAGAGTGAACTGTCCATTCTTAGCTGTTCTTCTGGCTGACCTGAGTTGATTCAGGCAACAAGCCTTTATAAAATGTGGAAGGGGCTGGATGTTAACAGATGTCCACCTGCCATGTGTCTACTGAACACAGGCAAAGGAAGGGAAGACAAAGGGAAGAGGTTTCCGCATCTGAACTACTGCTCATTACAGGAGTTGTTAGTTCTAGATATTCCTCCTGCACATCTGGAAATGCAGAGCTCTATAGATGCTGCTGGTGCCCTCTGCAGCTGGAGAGGTAATATAGTCACAGTGAACATATTAAAAGGCACTACACTTGTAAACGTTATCACTTTTTTTTTGTAATTTGGCACTTGCGGTTTCAGCCAGTGTCTGGACTCTAGGCAGGTGGACAACCTTGGAGTTAACATCAAACCCAAAGATGCTAAGGGAGATTTAGGAGAGGAAGGGAGCTACAAGCTTAACATTGTAATACATGTGGGAAGAGGCCAAAAGGCAATACCAGATTATTCATCAGAGATGGACAGTCTGCTGAAGATGGGAAGACGTCTTGAGGTGTCCAGGATAGGCGAATCCGAGCCACTGTGGCTGCTGCTAGAGCTGCTCAGATAACCTTCCTGGTCAGAGAGGGAGCCCTGTGGACTCGGAGGAGAGTCAAACATATTTGGGGACTCAGACATGGGTCTAAGAAGGAAAGCAGTGGGTGAGCCCCCCCCCAGACACCTGCATCCCCATACTAGGAGCAAAGAGATTGGTCAGCTCCTGGCTGGAGAAGGTGAATGGATTGCTGGCACAGTCAGGCAGAGTAGGAGAACTCAGGAGGTCATCAGCACTTATGATGGGTGGAGGGGTTATTGAGGTGGGGCTGTCCAGCAGCCCATTGGCAGCAATAGCACTTGGGAAGCCAGCAAAGCTGAAACTGTGTTGGAGGCGGGGTCTTTCAGCAATCACAGGCTCTCGACCGCCACCAGCTACAGCCCGGCGCTCCTCAGCATTGTGGATGAAATGACAGCGAGGCCCATAAGGGCAGAAGCCAATGGTATGGAAAGTGCGACAGAGCTCCGTCTTGTACTTGGGATGGCGGGTCAAACTTCGCAGCTCATGGATGCCGTGAGCAAACTGGCACTTGTCTCCGTATTTGCAGGTCCCATTCTCCTCAAACGGGCGGCAGAGCTCTGTCTTGTAACGGCTTGAGTTGACTTGCCCACCGGGCTGCTTTTGCTGAAGCAGGCGCTCTCCACCTTCGGAGAAGGAGCGGTCTCGAAAGCGGTTCTCCCTGGGCCCCAAGGCTGGGCCTGGCTCTCCCTTAAGGCCATTTAGGAGATGGGTCTGATGAAACTTAGAATTGGGCAGGGTGACAGAATGCCTCCTGGGGAAACCCCCGCCAGCCGGAGTTCCTACGGCCTTCCTGTCCAAAAGACACCCTCCAGCAGCAGAGGGGCCGTAATTCAGCATCTTGTTACTCTGGAAGGAGGAAGTAAAAAAGCAGTCAGCAATCCAGCTTTCAGCTTGACTTGTTTATGCCCTTAAACCTGACCATTCTACTACCCGTTTTCCACAGCTGCACAACTGATTTGCCAACAGTAAAATGACTAAAGCTCTCTTCTCTACCAGACAGGTCAAACTGTAGGAAGCACACACCACTAATCACAAGCCATGAAGTAGCAAACTCCTCAGATTTTCAATGGCTTTCCCACAGGTTCATATTTACTGTATCAATGAAACGCATTTTGATTTGTCCTACACAAAGGTGTCTCACCATACAATAGGAAGAAGTATCAACCATAATCTGACCATTATACCCTAGTACTTTTCCTGAATACTGGCTGTAGACTTCCTTAATTTATGCACATGAGCCAAACCTCATTTTAACACAATTCCTCCCCAAACCTCTAGAGAGGAAGAACCAGATCTTTTCCACTAATACTTTCAAGTCTATTTTTTCAGGAACCCAAAATTTAATTCTTGGTGAGGAGGGCCTACGCAAGATTTTTATAAAAAGATGTGAGCTTTGGGATAGATGTTAGTTAAAATTTCTCAATTAGTATCATTGTGCCACCTCCCTTTGTGCAAAGAAATTACATTTCATGTGATTCATACATGACTTCATATCTCTAAATATTCCTTTCCAGTTAGTTTTCTGACCCTAACAGAGAGGGATCTTTAGAAAGTTCAAGCAATTATTAGTTTGGGTACATGTGACCTCAATCTAAAACACTTTATTTCAAAAGTGATTTTGTGTTTATATTATAAACATTTAGCAAAAAAGAGGGAAACCAAATGGAGAACAACTCCCACGCGGCTCACTTTTGCAAGCGGTTAGCAACAGCAAAGGAGGCAGAAGCCCAAGTTGTGGAATCCGTTTCTCAAAAATTGAGGAAGTCACTGGCTTTTCTTCCCACTGCCTTACGCACTAAAGCAATCAACAACTCTTCACAAACTTTAAGAAATGCATACACCCAGCGACTTCGGCTAAACAAAGATAAGCTAGCGAGAACGAGAAAAGCGTAGCCACATGAGTGGGCCGAGAGATAAGAAAAGCAAACTGCAGAAAAAGCGAGCTAAGTAAGCAAGGCAGAAACCGGGGAGGCGGGAGGGGGCGGGGTGCCTAGCCTGTAAACGGTATTTTGCAAAAGCCTGAAAGCCAGAACCTCCCCCCCCCCCCCCCCTACCTTCCCGTCGCCCATCACGCACGGCTCGAGTTCCCTTTCCAGCAAGCCGAGACCGTAAGCGTGAAGCAGCGGCGCACCAAGCTTGCGGGAAATTCGTGGCAACAGCCATCTTTCTCCACCCCGAACAAACGTGGTGTGCAGCCGAGTAAGTAATCCCAGCAAACTTTTCCAAAGCAGGACACGAAGCGACCCCGTGAATCCCAGAACACGCGCACAAATGGGCTGCAAAGGGTTGCAAAAGGCTTTGTTGCATTCCATCACATGGGGAGGAAAGGGGGAGGGGGGGCGGCCGAGAGGAAACACGCCTTAATCCCAAGTACCGAATTTAGGATGAAGGGGACGCTTCCACCAAAATCTGCTGCTTCGCACACAATGCAACTTTTTTTTTTTTAAACGGGAAAACTTTTCCGAACTTTTCGGGTGAGTGGCGCAACCCTTCCAAACTTGTTTCAAAAAAAAAGAAAAGAAAAAAAAAGGGGGGAGGGCGAAGTTACTGAAAAGTCCTAGCAGAGGTCCAATTTTTTAAATCTCGAAATAAATTCTCGAAATAATTCAAGGGAGAGTCGTGCAAAACAAGAAGCAGAACTACCCAAAGTCAAATGTAAAAAACACTTCCCCACCCACCCACAGAAAGACTTAGCGCTCCAGCAATTCAACTAAGACTTGGGGCTCACGAGACAACTTTCCCAACTAACTTCTCAGCTCTCAGAGCGGTTTTAAGGCCAAAAATACATCTTATGCTGTTTTTAACGTCCCCTCCAACTTTTTTTTTTTTAAAAAAAACTGTTGAATTTGGGAGGGGAAGAAAAGGCAAGAGGGCATGAGATGTAGAACGAGAGAAACCCTGTTTACTCTCCCGGAACAATCTGAACAAAAGCTTTATTTAAAAAGTTTTAGAAGATAATGCGGGAGGTTAACTTACTTTGCATAAAACTTCACTCAAGTCGAAGATTGTTGGAGACACGAGGGCTGTAGACATCTTCAACTACCGTAGTAAAAAGAGGAATGAAAAAAAAAAATTGGAGTAACTCTTTTAACAGAAAAACAAAATGATTCAGTATTGTAAAGGCACAGCCTCCAGTTTCCCTGGGACGGACTCCCTTTTGCCCCCTCCAGCTCCAACAATTCCCCTTTCTCGTTCCTTCCAGAAGAACTTACCAAAAAGCTCGATTTATAAAGTTTCAGCTCTTACGCCGTGGGAGGAGTTCTAACTTCATTTAAATGAGAGAGGCGGAGGGAGCTCGACGACGAAGGAAGAGGGGATCACCCAGTGGGGTCAAACCTACCGAAAGCCCTTCGGGGGGGACGGGGAAAGGGGGTGGGGGGGTGGAAAGAAAGAAAGAAAGGGGAGGGCCTCGAAGCTCTTGTTTTTAATTTGGGGGAAAAAAAGTTTTGAAGAGAGTAGTGTTTGTACAAGTTACCTCTAATTAGGCGGCGAAGGAAGGGCTAGTTAAGCCTCTTTTGTCGGGACTTGAATGTAACATGTGACGCTATTCGCTGCACCCGATGCGGCGGCTCCCCTCCTCCTCTACTTAAGGCGGGATCGATTGTTTCCTTGAGAAGTTTTACAAGGGTTCCTTCGGGCTTGTGAGCGGGCGCGAGGGCTCAGGCAAAGTTTGGGCGCTTTTCATTTTCCTCGGGTGGTTCCCCCCCGCCGCTGAGAGGATTTGGGGTTTTTTTTTGTGACTGCAGGATCGATACAGTGCAAGTCATCTCGAAGGCGGGGGTGCTGGACGCCCATCTTTTAAGGGAGCCAAGGCTAACTGAATCCCCCCGGGACTTGCTTCCGAGTAAGCAAAGCAGGAATGGGTGCCGGCTGTGCGCTTACTTTATAAACGCGTTTACTCTGAAGTAGGTTGTGGTCAAAGCAAGGATGGAGGGAGGTCTTCATAAATCTCGATAGGCTCAGAACATAACAATAAGGAATTCGCATGAGTTTCTTCGCGCCGACCGTGGTACGAAGAAGCCACTAGATTTAAAAGTTCAATCGAAGTTCCCCCCCCCCCCGCAACTATTTTTTTAAAATTAATATAAGTTCTTAAAAAGTCTGGCCCCAGAAACGCTTGTGTATGTTGTAAAATACTGCAGTCAAGTTTGGGAGGAAATATTTCGAGAAAATTCCACGAACCATTTTTGTCTAAATTCCCGCTGGAAAATGACTTGTGGAGTTTTTGTGTCCCCCCCCACTCCCTGCAGTTTTTACAGAGATTCTTCTATTGCCACATTGCTAGCGTGCTTTTCTGCAAAGGGCGCTTCCTTTTTTTCTTTTTTAAAGTGCTTTCGTGTTCATTTGAATGACTTTCCAGTGGTTGCATTTTTATCTCTGGCCTTCCCCTCCTCCTTGTTTTTAGTTGAGTATTATGTCGGATAGTTTTCCCCGACCGAATGGAGTTTTTTGTTCCTTAACTTTTGGCGCGATTCGAGCTGGGGAAGGGACATATGCATCGGAACGTGACTGACACCGCGATTTGCATCTGGGAGGGGAAGGACGTTGTCGACTTGAATTCGTTCCCCCGCAGTCTTTTTAAGTTGTGGAAGAAAGGGCTGGGTGGTGGACCGAAGCGGAGCTGGTAATATTTCCTTCCTCTTTCCATGTGACCTCGCAACTGAAGCCTCACCTCCACAGACGATTGCGGCACAACACTTCAGAGCTCTCGGCCTATTAGGAAACGCGGCGCCCTGAGTGCAGTTTCCATCGCTGCGTAATGAGGCCACTTGCTAGCCGCATTTTCGCGCTCGCTCTCGAGCGCACCATTTTGGTTTCCTCTCTCCGCCCCCTCTCCCGGGTATGTCTGAAGCATGTGTACATAATGCAGGTTATATCTCCATTTTCCATCGCCCAAAAGCTTCCCGCCTTAGGCCGGTTTGCATCTCTGCTTTGATTTTAATTCGACTGCCTCGATGCATACTTAGGCGTTGCCTTTTTTCCTTCCCTCCGCAGCGTTCCCCTTTTCTATCAAGTATATAAGTGCGGGGGGGGGGGGGAAACCCTCTCCCCCATTAAAGTGTCTCAAAACGGGTTGCTTCTTACTGGTTAATTTAAAGAGGATGTCAGCCTTTGCGAATTTCAGTCTCCCCCTTTCCGTGTGGCAAGAACATGATTTAACTTTTAGTTTTTGTTGTTATGTTGGACAATATTTACACTATTCAACAGGTGCAGGAGAACCTGGACACTGAATTTAACTTTCTGCTGAGGAAACCCTTCAAATAAAGATTTACGGAAAATGAGAAAGAAACTCAGAAGTGATCCCTCTCTTTTGGAATGTACTGCCTAATGGAAAGCTGATGCCAGACTTATTTTGGTGACACTGGGAAATGAGCAGAACCAACAATGCCGAAATGTTTTGCTTTATAACATTGGTAAAGAAAAAAAGTGTATTTTCTAGAACAAAAATTTGAAAAGTTAAAGCTTGTATCCCAACCCTTGAAATATATATCATGCCTGAGCTGTAAAAATCCAGATGAGAATTAGCTGTGAAGAAATACAGAAAATACAGCCATCCAGAGTTTTACAGTCCGGATACAATATTTCTGTTTAAAGACCTTAACAGAAAAACAGAAGCTTGCTCAGAAATACACCCTCAGAATGTAGTGGCTCTTGATTCTGTGTAAGAATGTTCTACACTGATTTCTAAAACGTGATAAACTTTCAATTCTGAAAGTTCTGAATTCTGTTAAATGTCAGTTCTGTGAAGACAGGAATGTCATCAAATACACCTTCTGATTTCCTTCCTGTTTGTTTCAGTTTGGCAACAAATGAACACTTCTGCAAGCCCCTTCCTCAGCTGCTTAATACTCCTTGGTGGCCCCCCACAGGAGCACTTAAGTAGTGTTCATAGCTTGACAGCATTCATGCAGAAGTAAGCACTATTGGTATCTACATGATAATACCCAGCAGTGTAAATGTCACAAAAGGGTTGGTACTGTGGTTGTACAATAACAACAGCTGTATAGCTATCTCAATTGTAGAACAAATTGTGACTTGGATAGAGTAAGCATAACTTTGGCATAGGAGCAATAGACCTGGGTATAAAGCTTGCAGTTTGTAACAAATATGAAATAGGCTTGACTGCTTTAGTAAGTTTCATCAGTAGTTATCCCACGAGAATAGTTATTTGCAAGAGTAAGCTGGCTCCAGAGATACCTGAACTGGTTCAGAAAGATTTCTAATTTCTGTTACTTGGGACTAATTTGAATGGTTTCTAAGAAATCTTGAGAAAATAATTTCAGTAGTGGAAATGATGTCTTCTAAAGTTTTTGCTTGGATTATATATTTAAAAACTGATTTGGTAATTTATCACAAGCCATGTTTTCCTTTTATAGTAATTTAACCCTTTGTAAAAATCCTATGATTTCTTTAGGATGTAGAGTGTGTGTGCAAATCAGTTTTTGACTCTTGTAAACTGCCTGGACCAAGGCCTATATCTTTCTTAGCAAGATTTCAGAAGTAGTTTGTCATTTATTTATATTTAATTTATTTGCTGCCCATCTTATCCACCAGGTGACTGGATGGCTTACAATGTTAAAGACATTGCTTTCTGTCTAGAACTGAGAGAGTGTGACATGCCCAAGATTACCCAGCTGGCTTTGTGTCTAAGGCAGGACTAGAGCTCATGGTCTCCCAGTTTTTAACCTGATGCCGTAACCACTTCCATGCACCAAACTGAAGAGCATACACTCTTCTTAGTGTGTGGCGCTCCTAAATATTTAATGAGGAGCCAGAATCCATTGGAATATCCATATTATGAATCATATATCACAAAAATGATAAGCATTTCCAATGACCTTAACTTCAAAAAAACCCATTTAAAATTTAATTTAAAAGCTTCCTTAGAAGAGAGTGCAGGAGTTACAATATGCCATGCTGGAGTAAACAAGGAATATTTCTAAACTAAACGAAAATATTTCTGCAATACTCAGGTCCCATAGTAGAGGCACTAGTAAAAGAATATGGTCAGCTGCTTCAATGAGTTATCTCTGTCCCAGCGCAGAAGCCCAACTACAAAAGCAACAGGAGTGGAGTTTCTGAAGAGTTCCCAAGAAAGTAATATGTAGAGCTGAAAAGTTAAGAGTTGGAGGAGGTTCAGCCATTAAAACATAGGCCTTTCCAGGCCAAGAATTTGCCTGCAGAGGTGAAAGTGTAAA